ATTGTACTATATCCTATTTCATCTTTTTCCACAGAAAAGATACCATACTTTAAAAAAATCATTTCCAGCTATATGTTTTAATGACTTAACTATTAATCTTTTCATGCAACTGTACAATTAAGTATAGATTGTGATGCTATTTTGAGTAAGATATTAATAATACAACAAGAATGAACAATTCAAAAATCTTTTTTTTTAACATAAGTTTTGTTTTTTTTAACACAGTGCTGGTTTCAATTTTATGCTTGAGAGGATCACATCTCATACAGTTTACAAAAATGAGGCAATAATTAAATTTATAATATTTTCAAAGTTAATCAGGAATACATATTTCAATAAGAATCTATAATTTTCAAATTTTAGCTTCACTTTAAAATTGATGATTTGTAGTGACTCTAATAGATTAGTTTATAGTTTCAAATCTACTGTACATCTTTTAAGTCATCATAGTGGAAATAATAACAAATGATGTTTTCTTACTAATATGACTAGTGATGTATTTAAAGTTTGAAAAATTGATCTTTTCACTGTTATAGAAACCACACAAGAAAATGTAATAGAAATATCTTTAAGAGAAACTGATATTGAATATACAGCTCAGTGGGAATATATATATATTTTTAGGGAATTTACTAAGTTTTAATTTAGCACATGTGACTAACCATTGTCTATTGTTGAGAAGTTTCCCAGTTAGACCAAACACACTTTCTTTTCTTAATGAATATGTGATAAAGAACAAATACATTGCTTACATATGTAAAATATCTTTCTATATTGTTCATGTTTACAAAAAATAATGTACAAATATAGTCATTGCATAAGTTTTAAAAATATTTCAAGCTTATGTTTACTTTTAAATTTGCTGTCTTCAATTTTATTACAAACTTCTGATAGGCAATTATGTACTTGACCTTCCATACCACTGGCTAGTTCTGCTATTACAGATTTAACTTGAGCATTGATTGATTTTGGTATTGTCAGGGGTTTGGAAACAATCCCCATCACATATCGAGATATCTTGAGATATCTATAGAGTTGAATTATAGGGTTAAATGCTCAAAAATTCTTTTATTTATTTTGTTTTATTTTTTGTACTGTGGATTGAATCCAGGGAAGCTATCCACTGAGCTATATTCCCAGCTCTATTTATTTTCTTTTATTTTGAGACAGGGCCTCACTAAGTTACTGAGGGATTTTCTAAGTTGCTGAGGCTGACCTCAAACTTGTGATTCTCCTGCCTCAGCCTCCCATGTCGCTGTAATTATAGGCATGTGCCTCTCTACATGGCCTCAATTTTTTTTTCATCAAGAATGTATTACCATACTTAGGGTTAACTATGAAATTAACATTAAAACAAAATATTTCTAGACACTTATATATACTGAAAATAAAGTACAGAACTGATGTAGAACACGTGAGGCTGGATACCTGAGGAATTTTCAGGAAGCAGGCTTATTTAAGCTGCAGCCATTCAGAAGGGCTTACTTATGCTTAACAATCTCTGGACCCTGAGTCTGGACATTCTTTTAGATTTATACCGAGTGGGGTGGTTATATGACAGTGGGAACATGACCATTATTCTTTGTCCCATATTCTTAGACTCCACAAAGGTTTCACACATTTTGTCTGCAAACCTGGCATTTACAAGAAAAAGGAAGTGTCAAACCTCATTGAGCTCTCTGCAGAATGATGAAATACTGATGATATACTTTGTAAAAATCGTTTTGATAAGAAGAAAAGCTTAATTATGGTGATGGGTTCTTTTGCGTGGGGGTACCAGTCTGCTTCAGCACCAATACCATAATATTTTAGAAATATTTCTCATTTTATTTATGTATAAAGTAAATTGCAAAAAAGAGATTATGAAAAGGAATGCTATAGAATTATCCCTATACACTGATTTGGTTAGAAAAATTATCAATTAAGGATAATCCAGGAATACATATAAAGGAAAATACACATACTTAGGTAGTTTTTTTTTCCTAGCCATTACTTTGATTAACTATTAATCCTATGAAGATGTTTAGAATAGAGTTTGGCAAATACTTTCTGTAAATTGCCAGATAATAAATATTTTAGGCTTCTCAGGCTACATGGTCTTCATACCTACTCACTTCTGCCATTAAGTAGAAAAGCAGCTTTACATAATACATAAGCAAATGGGCATGGTTGTGTTAGTTCATCTTTATTTATAGAAACAGGCCCTTGGCAAGATTTGGTCCAAAGGCCTTTAGTTTGCCAACCCATATTTAGAGATATTCAGAGATTTTGAAGGAGATTTAGCTGTCCCACCAGAAGTAGTAGTGACAATGTCCAGTTTTACCTGATATTTGTATAACTGATGAGGAATCTATACAAAAGATCACCTATGATTTTTAAAAACTTAGGTGCAGATGTTCTTGTAGTACTGTAGAACATCTGCACCTAAGTTTTTAAAAATAACTTTTATAGAAGAAAATAACAGTAATCAAGATAGTTTGATACTGGGTAAAATAAAGACATATATTAATAGAAAATAATAAATATCCTAGAAATTGATCCATATTTGATCCATATATGTATTATCAAATGAATTATATCCAAGTGTTAATTATATCCAAGTGTTAATGTGATTCTATGGATAAAGGATAGATGGCCTTCTAAGCACATGGCTCGGGTACTATTGTATAACCAAGCCTTACTATTTCCCTTTCTTTTGTTGCTAGTTAAATTTATGGTTGAGTCTGGAAATAAGACTGCATGATATTTGTCAGCTAAGAAGCTAGGAATAATTTATTTGCTAAACAAGTAAGATAGTTATGGTATTTATGTTAGTATAGATTAGGAAAAAACTGAAATACTCACTGTGAGGAATATTTTATAAAGTTTGCTTAAAATTAATTAAGGATTGCCAAGAAGAATTAAGGGCCCAGTTGAGGAAAAACATATAAAATTTAGTAGAATAATCCATTTTCAYGAGTGCTGAGAAAATAGACTGGGAATTAACAAATATTGGCTCAGGGTATTAACATTTGTTCCTCTAGATCCTCTTTCTGCCTTTGTCCATGCTATCCTCTAAACAATGGAGATCAACTTAAATAGCTGAACTTACCCTCCAGCAACTGAATGGATTTGGCTGATATGAAACACTATGAACAAACTAAATGAAAAAGGAGAGTAAGGTTGTTTATGTATCTCTGTCTCCTTTCTATTTAATTCACCTTTAACTGACTGTGTCCCATATTTTATGTTTTTTTTTTTTTTTTTCAGGTTCTAGGTCCTGCTCTTTTCTCTGTCCCTTCAGGCTCAGTGTTGATAATGGTGATCTGCCATTGTTAATACTTCAGATCCATACTATCCCTCCCAGTTTTTTTTATTCTATCTATATATTTGTAAATAATCCCTCTGTTAATCTTTTCCCCAAAATCCAATTGGAATGGTTTATCAATTCCTTGATGTGACCCTTACGAACCAGTGGATGAACACATTGGAGAAGGCCAGAAAACTACTTGTAATGTATTCATTATTGTGTCTAAATTGATTATGAAGGAATAAACCTGGAAGAAGACCAGGAGATTTGAATGAGGTCAAAACTATCAATCTTCACAATTAGAGGGAAGTGATGAAAAGTGGCAAGGTTATGTTCATAGGGAAAACTTAGGGTTTTATTTCTTTGTAGTGAATTTGTGTTGTGATTATTCCCTATGGGTAACTATGGGGTGAATTGTTTGAGAGGAGAAATTTTAACTCAGCTGCATTTACTAAGAATCTCACCTGTGATAAGCAACATGTTAGGTATTCTAGGTGAGCCAAAATAGTTAAGCCACAAGCTATTGTCTTATAACAGGGAGAATACCTCACTTTAATTTGTAATTAAAGTTATGAAATTATTTTTTAAAGCTTTATAAAAATATCCTGATATTGAACCCATCAATGATTTGATCTTTCACATTACTAAGTTGCTAGCCATAAATTACACACCTAAAGTGTTTTAAGTACCATTGTTTCTTCTAAAGCAGAAATGTACTACCACTGCCACACATATATATATGTGATGATCATTATTATCCAAAGTACATGTATGAGGACAYGAATTGGTGTGAGTATACTATGTGTACAACCAGAGATATGAAAAATTGAGCTCTGTATATGTAATAAGAGTTGTAATGCATTCCGCTGTTATATGTAAATAAAAAAAGAAAGTATAAATTTCTTACTTATTATTCTTATTTTTTTTAACTTTGCTGCCAAAATTTAACATTTAAAATTCCAAAAGATAGAATGTCTTTAAATTATTAATTCCCTTTTTCTAATAATTACAGTTTTTTAATTTTTTTTTTCTTCAGCAACCTTTATGAATTTGTCAGTAATTACAAAGGGAGAGGACATTAGTGATTTCAAAAGTGTTTGAAAATGAGAAATTTACCTAAGAAAATTGACTTGTTAATTATTCAAAAAATTCTGAATTCAAATTCACAGGAGATATTATCTCCTTCAATTTTTGTATAAYGTTCTTGTTTAATAAAGGGTATTAATTTAACATATGTACAGACTAATATACAATGAAAGACTAAAAACTTTAAAATTTAATATGGTCACTCAATGAAGTTCCCTTGTTTTTTTCCTCATTAAAAATAACCAATCCCAAGGATAATGTTAGAAAAGTATGTTATATTGTGTTCCGTCAACAAAGAAGCTATTTCAAGAAATGAGAATAATAAAAGTTATTCCAAAACTTTGAAAGCTGTGTTGTAATGAATTGAACTAGTTCACTTTCTGATTGCTTGCCAGCAGTCTAGCCATCTCCCACAAACTCCTGTATTGATCTGGTAGCCTTTGTGGCAGTGCATAAAGAATAACCATCTGTGTTGGGTACAGCAGCAGGTGCCATCTCCATTGAACTGGCTGCTGCCCTGATCACAATGAAGCTGTTTAGAGCACCTGGTGACCATGACATGCTTTCTTTTCTTTAGAAAAGAAACTAATTTTTAAGTTTACKGAACAGAAACTGAGAAACTCACCAGAAATCATCAGTTGTTGAGTCGCTGGGAAGGACTCCAGTGATGGTGAAGTAAGTGATCTAGTGGTGGAAAGAATCTGACCTGCAGCAGGAGATTCTTGGTCATGCACACTAGGATGAAGTTCCCATTTTGACCATTCTGAAGAAGTCCTGATCTTTTCCTTTAAATCAGGTGTTAAGGTCAGGTAATCCACATAATATGGCCAATCTGGTCTAATTAGAGACATGGGTAAAGAGGTCTGTATTGGAAGAGGTTGAGTTGCTGTCACCGTATRAAACCCAACACTAGGACTTACTTCTGCAAAGTAAAATAGTGAGTCTGAATATAGTGGTTGATTGTTTTTGAGGTCATTTGAATGTGTGATTTCTGAATACATCTTGAAAGTTACATCTGAATATTGTTGTAAGTTTAATTCAAAATCTAGAGAGGTAACACTTGTGTGAAGTTTGAACAGTTGATAAGACACTTTACCCTCTTTCATGTCCAGTAAATTGTCTTGATTTAGTGCTTCTCCGGTGGGACTCATAGTTACACTGTATTTTCCTAATCTTGATAGTTTAAGAATGTCTTCTGATACTGACAGATCATCAGTAGTCAGTTTTGAAGTCAARTCAGAATACATCAAGTCTGAATACATAGTTTGGGAAGATACAATGGATAMACAAGTCTCATTTGAACATAAATTAACATCTAAATTACTTGATAGGGTAATGGATTCTTCCAAGGATGAAAATAAAATTGTTCTTTTTGCACTCTTTTTAGATGGAAACAAAGATGACAGTTCTGTGAATGCCACTGATGGTATTATTTCAGTATGAGGAGAAAACGAATGCCCAGAAGTGATAGTTTGAGTTCCCATTAGTGCATACCAGCTGGCTAATATCGCTGAGTTCATCCAGAATGTCTCATAAAATTGGGACTGTTTACTATGCAAAACCTGATCTGAGAATTCATGAGAGGATTTTATTTCAGTCATAGAACATGTTGCACATGTTTGGCTTAATTCACTTAAAGAATCAGCAGCCTGTGATTTGATGTTTGTGAGTCTCTGGTTGCTAGATTCTTCAGTAATAACCCGATATTCACTGGGAATGGGAGTTTGAGTACTAAATTGGTAGAGAGTTGATGAGTTTAAGATGGCTACCTGTTTGGATATAATTATCTTAGCAGGAAAAATGGGAGACATTGAGGGGCCCAGCAATCTCCAGTGCTTTCTTCTTGAAATTAAGGAAACAGCTGAATATTCTTCAATATCCTCTTGAGCCCTCCTAGTGACAATTGGAGGTACACTTGTGGAAGCAGTTGTGAGCAGGAATCCATGGGAGAGTAATGAGTGCCTGTTTAACTTAATATCAGCTCCTGGAATGCTGCTAATTACTGAACTCATTGTGGCAGCAGAAAAGGCAACAGTGTGATAGTCCTCAAATAATGAAGATGATGTGGGAAAAATAAAATCTGTCATTAAGGAAGAGATGATAAATGGGGTCCTTGATCCCTGATGAGAAAAAAAGAATGCTTGTGTAGCTGCTGAAGTTTGGATAGGCATATGTGATGCAGATGTTTTGCCCTGGACAATTTGTGCTGGATCATGAATACCAAAATTCAGAAACTGAGAAGAGGAAACATCTGTGGAAGAAAGAAGACTCTGTTTTGCTGAAAGCTCTCTAGTGGAAATCAGTTCTTTGAGTAAGTAGCTTTCAAAAGCTATGCCAATACTTAATGCTGCCAAACCAGTGGTTGCAGGAACATCATGCTTGAAAATATCTCTGTGTTTCAGAGCTTTAGAAAGGAAAAGGCAAAAAAGAAATCAGAAAAGTGAGTTAAAAATGAATAACTTTGGCCCCAGGCTGAATCTTTAGCAAATTGCACTGCCACCTCACACCTATTATATGCAGACAGATTTGGCTCTGTAAATCACATTTCTAATAAAAGTGTATGAAGAAGTTTAGTGACTTCACAAACTGCATAAATGCAAAGTCTGTTATTATTCACATTCAATGGGAAGGCCTAAATAGAGTAATGGTGTTACATGAAATTGCCATTCTCAATCAAATGACTCCTTTAAATTATAAAACTAAAATTATTTATCATTGATAGAACTGATAAATATTTGAACTATTTTGTTAGAAATATTCAAAATTTTGTTTTACTTTCTAAATAGTAAAATATTTTTTACATTTGATAACACTCTATTTTTACTTAATTCTTTAAAAGAACATAAATCAGGAGCTGGGGTTGTGGCTCAGAGGTAGAGCGCTCGCCTAGCACATAMAAGGCACTGAGTTCAATCCTCAGCACCACAAAAAATAAATAAAACACAGGTATTGTGTCCAACTACAACTAAAAAWTTTTTTTAAAAAGAACATACATTATATAAACAAAAATAGAAAATGATAGTTTCTTCTTAGAATGTACAACAGTATTAAAAGACACTTTTTCATAGACAAAAAATATCTTATTAAGGACTGTAATTCTTACTAATCATTCTGAGTAACACTTTCTATATGAAGAATGAATTTGGAATTGAACATACATTCTACTTTTTATAAAATGACATCATTTGACTTACTGTTAAGTCATAGCACATATCAGGAGACTCAAGTTGTTAACATTCTTCAAAATAGAAAAATAATCACTTCTTTGTTTCTGAGAGTTTTCAAATAAATTATTGAATATAAAATCTACATATAACAATTCAGAGGACATTAAATGAAGACATAATGAGATAAGTAGTACAAGGCCCTTTTCAAAAAGATTCACTGATAGTTAAAACAAATATGCTAGAATTGGAGTCCAAGTTATTCACCAAAATTTACACATCAGAATAAAGATTGTTGACATTTTTTTCCAGTTACCCCCCTTCCCCAAAAAGCACTTATTAGTAAAGRATATCAATATTTTCAAAACTTAAAACAGGATGTGTAACTAACAAGAATTCTAAATTTTGCACCCTTAAAAAATCTATATCTTGGAAAAAATTGAATAATTTAGAAATAAAAACTTAGAAAACAGGTTTTCAATATAAATTTTTTCAAACTCAACTTCATATTTTAATTACTTCTACTTACCTTCATTGCCTGGATAAGTATTCATTATGGTMCATATTTTTGTAGCCCTTGTAGATGGTAAGATACTGAACAAGATCTCAGAAGGAGGCACTGTATATATTTGTGTAAAAATGGTTGGAGAGATGCTTGGAGAGATGAGAGGTGAACTGGTGATGCTGCTTATTTCATCACCACAAGGAAGCRCAGTGGAGCAACTCTGCAAAAGGAATCACCATAATTAAATTAAGCTCAAAGTTTCTTTGTTCCTATGAGGAGATTTTTTTTAAAGTTTATTTTCAGGTCCATTTTGCATTTTTATACTTACATTAAATAGTGTAAATCATTCACCTTATTTTACTTAAAAAATGAAATCTTCATAGTAAAATTTATCCATATTTCAAAATTAGTTAAATCTTTCAAATTTGAGATATACTCAATTAGATGTCTAAATTTGTTCTTAGTTCCTTTAATTTCAATTCATGATACTCCCTTATATTTGCTTTGGGGATATTTTTTCCCCTGAAAAATTTGTACTTTGGTCTTCAGTATGGATATAAAAGCAATATGATAAATTATAAACCCTTTTCTCCCAAAAGTCATATTTAGTTGACAGCCAATAAGAATATCATATTTATAAAAGATAATTGAAAACATTTTTTTGTGTTGTTCAACTAATTTTACTTTGTACTGACTTATAGAAGAAATTGGCTTGTATATTTTGTAAATTGTTTGACATGAATAGCCTATTTCTGTCCTATCCTTATAAAATAATTTCCATACAAAGCAATTGATTGAAGCATATTACAAAGAGATATTTTATGCATGCATAAATAAATGCAAATGGATCAAGGAGATTCTCTATAAAAGTAGAGTTAAAACAAAGTTATATTAAAAAATAGAAAAACAGTTATATTATTTGAAGCATTTTGATCTTTAATTAAACACAAATTTTGAAATGATTTACAAATACAATTATATGTTTATTTCCCAATAATGAAGATATAGCCAATAGATTTACCCAATTTACTGCTTTAACATTTGTCAAAGGTTGTATTTACTTTTCACAAATCTTAGGTCTTGATTTAGACATATATTCTTTTTTGCTTTGTGGTTTATATTTTGTATTCACTTTCAGCTTATAACTAAAAGTTTCTATCAAGGTCAAAGGATTCATGATGTTAGAAAATTGCATTAAAAAGTCTAACATGTAAAAAATAGTCAAGAGTGAATCTGGAAGAAATATAAGAACAACAACACAAAAAAAGGAATATGATTTTATACTTAATGACCAAAAGATTTATGCTTTCCTCAAGGCTAAGCTATAGCATGGAAAGACTTCATAGATTAATTAAAATACACATGAGGTCAGGGTAGAGACCAGAATGTCAGAATGCATCTGTACTCGTTTACAGTGAAGATGTGGCTAGTGCATGGCTCATAAATGCTTGTGTGGTCCTGGTCAGATCTTTTTTCTTAATCCTAATCAGAAGCCATTATTAAYTACCATGAGGAATAGGTGATAATCAACAAGTTACCTAAGAATCTCATGTGTTTTTGACATGTATTAGACCAGAACATGTAGAATTAGGTGATTCAAATGCTCAGTGGWAGGACATTTGAGTCCAGCAGACAGGAAACCATACTTTCTCCTTCCTCTATTATATGCACACATTGGTGGGCTGAGTCTCTTATCCATCATGTGCTTTTTATAAGGTTTGCTCTCAAAATTGATTTTATTTACTGAATTTCAGGCTTGATTCCAAATATCTCATTCTATTCCCTATTCCCCAAGTATTAGCAATAAGCATCTCATCAAACATATATAAATATATATATATATTGATTTATTTAATAATCTTTTAAGTAGATTTTAATTGTTTGACATCTTTTCTCTCTATGGATGTATATATGCATGTATCTATAAATGTAGATACATATATATATAAGTGTATGTATAATAAATATATATATTTATGCATGTATATGAGTGTTAGTGCATTTATTCAATATCATTACAAATTTGGGATACAAATATTTGGTATTAATACATTTATGTATGATATATACACCTCAAAGCCTGCAAATGCAATTCATCCTAGAGACATTTCTCTATTCTTCCTTATTAAATCTCTGTTACACACTCATTATAYCTATTTCTTTTTCCCTTTGGATTGTATGCATCAATTGTTCTTGTGTGTTTGTATAATTATGAGTTTTAATACATGATCATGAAGTCTGCCACTTTCTGATAGATTCATAAAAGTCTGTGGTGTGTGATCTTCCAGCCTCTTCCCTTATGTTGTRACACGTGAATTCATGTATTAAAGATGGCCGAGTGACAAAAAGTAGCCTTGGTGCCTAAAATATCTCACTGAAMGAGAGGAGCTGAAATCAGAGATATTCATTCGGAGTTCATGTGAATGAAGAATAAATTTCTATTGTATTGATCTACTGAAGTTTTGAACGTTGTTGTGATAGCAGTTATCATAGCCCTAATAGACCATTTGACCTTTCTGATCACATTCTCTGTTATGTATAATAAAGATAAACTGAGACAAAACTCCTCAAAATGATTGCACATTTCTTCCTGCATAATAACTTGATTGCACATGAAGCATATAAGAATTCTAAGCATTTAGCTTTAACTCATAAACCTTTAATTTGATACTTGTATTTCTTAGCTTCATGGTTACTATAGTTYACTAATTTTGTCAATGTAATTCATTCCTTCATAAATGCACCTTGCAAACAGGTATTTAGTGCCTGATTAAAATACAATAATGAGGTGCTGATATTTATTGAGAACTAAATAGGTTTCAAGATAATGTTAGGCATTTATATAAAATGTCATAACTTAAAAATTGTCTTTCTGAATCTATATTTGAAGAAAACATGCAGAAAATATCTTGAATCAGTGCTTYATGAAATTCTGATCACCTGCTTTCTCGTTAACCTTGGGTAGCTTTGCATGTCTTCATTTAGTACTAAGTGATGAAGTGCAAGCTATAATGATGGTTATAAGTGCTCATCAACTTATAGATGGAACTGGCCAACTGGATAGGTAATTTTTTTTATTTTATAGCTTGATTATAGAAAAGGAATCAAAATTTGAATTAGTTTAAACAACAGCAAAATGGGCAACTAAAGAGGCAAAGGAGGAAGTGAAGTCTTAGATATGGCCAGGGACCAGATAATTCAGGCTGCTGCTTTGTTTACTTATCAGTTGTTTAAATTGGAGTTAATTCTAAGAGACAGGAAGCCACTGGAATACATAGGACAAAAAAAAAAGTGATGTAGTGTGATTTACATAGTGAAAATATTTKCAGAAACATATACTGTCAAGGGAGATAGGTGTGGTGGGAAGAAAGGAAGCTGGTATATTGATGAGATGCTGCTTACAATGATCTAGAAATTGGTTGAATAAACTCTGGCTGGGAGCCGAAGCAGTGCATAGTGTGAGGAAAGGTTTCATTCAGGATGTATTTGGAAGACAGAGACCATAATACTGCTGAAGGACAAGAAACATGAGGTCAGAATAAAACTTTAATGAATGATTACTAAATTTTTGTTTCAATGCATGGAATGACTAATAAAGCTGTTTACTAATTGAAATATCAGTAAAGGCCAGTTATAGATTGGGGGTATATCAGGATTTCTTAATAAATTCATTAAATTTGAGAAGCTTATTAGCTCCCAGTAGCAAGTTAAAAATATGAGTCTCTCCTAAGGCAGAATAATCCTTAAATCATTTCAGTGAAGTAAGAAGTATGGTTTAAAGGAAACCTGCACTATCTTATAGTMTTTTTGCTAATTCTTTGATCATCGAGATAGAAAATCAAAGCCAAGATTCAAACCAAGCAGTGAAACTCATGGCCCATACTCATAGCCACTAAACTTTATTTTGATCTCCTGGATCATCTCCAAGTTTTTATGAACAGTTCTATTCTACACTTGATTATTATAGATAACAAAAATCAAGATAAGGAACTACTCTACTCTAGTAGTTCTACTCTAACAGTTTAACACACATAACTGACAATAGATTTAATCATCAACAACCAGGTAAAATAGTGTTTATTATCTCAATGGATTCATATTCTAGTGAAGTATWATTTTACATTCTGTTGACATATCATTTAAAGATGTAACTGTATATCTCATTCTTATTTTCTATTAAAATGTAAACAATGAATAAACATCCCAGTGTTTGTATTTCATTTAATATCTATAATACTGTGGTTTAACCTATKTTTCTAAGAACCAAAAGGATAAATTTGTAACGTTTTCAAACTAATTGGCAGCTTGAAATTTACAACAGTATCAAAATATGCAGTATTGCATATACATAGAAGTGCCTACCTAATTTGTGTGGGCCAGTACAGAGTGAAAACATGGAGTGTGGGCAGCCAGTCTGAATGATTAGTGTTCTCCATCCAGAGGCAGAGAGGCTCTGAATGTCACTACGTGTTGTAGTGACCTGGACATTGCCCTGGTCCCAGAAGGTTGAGGACACATCTTCAGACATAGGCATGTCTCCCCGTGGATTGAGCTACGCTCACCTGTTCCTTTGTGATATTGCTCCTTTGCCCTGTTTGGGACAGAATGTTCCATGAAAATGCCCTTTGTGTGTCCCTTTCTCTTGCTCTGCCTTTGGGTATGGCCAATCTGCTGACAGTAGACTTGGCGAAGCTGGACTCAGCCCCCAGGAACCTGACCGCTTGCCTCATTTGAATATCTTCTCTTCAATAAACGGGTTCAGCATGTGCTTATTCTCTCTCTTTCTGCGGACCCTTAAGGTCAGAGGAGCCAGCTGTCACAGGACCCCAAAGAAAAGGTACCTCTGTCTCTTTGGTGATTATTTCATGCAGCCCAATTCTTCTGGAGTGACCCTGAGTGTTTTAGTTTCGAGGAACGCAACAATGGAGCCCCTCATTGAAAAATGATTACGTATTTCAGCTCAATGACAAGAGAAGAGCAGACTAAGAGTATATTTGTGTGAGTGTGAATGAGTGTGCTCATACTTGCAAAGTGACACAGGAATCTCAAGGACAAGGTTTTGGTCTACTCTCAGGTCACACACCCATGATGCTAGTYTGCTTATTMATACTACTTTGTATCATATAACACTGATCTACCACCTTGCTCTTTGAAATATTTTATTTTTCTTAAAATAAAAATGCTTTTGAAAATTAAAAGAAACATTTTCAATGATTGGTA